CAGTACTACCCAAAGATATATTATCAGACTTAGTAATATTTTTTCCGTCATCTCCACCAACTATGGGTTTCGATATAGCCTCTGATTTCAGATGCTCGAGTTCATTGACCTTCGATTCCAATGAGCTCTTTATATGATCTAATTCAGCTATTTTAGATTTGAGAGATAAATTTTCGGATTCTTTTTTCAATGAGTCATTTTGAATAGAAATTACATCTTCCTGAGCTGAAGACAACTTACTTTCCAATATTTTAATCATAGATTCAAGCGATCTAATTTTCTTGGATTTGATGGCATTCTCAGCATTAGATTCTGTAATAGAAAGTTCTTTACGAATATTCTTGGAAGTAAGATCAGCATTTTCAATCTTTAATCGCTTAGTCTCATTAATGAGTTCCGAAGTATGGGTATATAACTTCTGTTTCTCACCATTAACATTATCAAATACACTCTCCCATTGCTTTCTTTCCCGATTCCATTCCTTTCTCTTCCTATCAAATCCCTTTGCTTGTTTAAGGTATCTAGCGCGTAATGCTTCGTTACAATTATTCAGCTCGGATATGGACTTTAAACTATGATGTAAAGATTCTTCGAGCTCTTGCTCACGCATACTGCCAAGACGATGGCCTTTATTAGAGCTAATATCTTGTAGCGTATGTACATTAGCCATATATCTTTGGTTAAACTATATGTAATATACATAAGATAATTTACAAAATTTAGAATCCGATATAAAGTATTATAAAATATCAGGTAATATCAGGTAATATCAGGTAATATCAGGTAATTACCGGTAACTTTAGAAAATATCAGATAATTACCGGTAACTTTAGAAAATTATCACACAATAATTATATATAATTACCGATAATTACTGATAATTTTCGAAAATTTTATATATTTTTATGATTAGAAAAAAGATGGAACGCATAACTGTAAAATATTATCGTGCTGATACACCTTATCTATCTCCAGAAGCTATTGAGGAAATTATTCAATCTCGAGGAACGATTAAAAATGCATGCAAGGAAATGGTTGATAGATATAGCACTTCAACTCGCCGAATTTATGAAATCTGGAAAAGGCATGCCCAAGGATTGCCTCAGCGCAAGCAACAAATGATACAAAATACATTTCCTTCTGAAATAGCATCTATGCCTGGAAATAATATCTCAAATGAGCGGACAAAAAAGAAAAAATCTAGTTCCAAATTGATCCGCTCTTCACATTCAACTTCTAATAGTGGAGGAAAGATGGAAAAAATAAGTGGGGGAGGTATGAATAACATTCCTAATACAGATATAGTTGCCCAAATTGAGCGAGAAATAAAAAGAAAGGATAAAAACTTAGCTAATACTGCTCGCATAATGTCTACTACTTAATCTATATTGACTTTATCTGCAACAGACACAATGATATTTCCGCATTTTACTTGCAGAGCTTCATTACAATCATTAAGTTCTGTGATCGATTTAAATGCATTATAAAGACTTTTCTCATATCTCTCGCAATTTACGCATTTTTTTTTAACTCTGTATCTCTGTCTTCAGAAATAGATGGAATTGCATTAACGTGATGTACCTCAATCTTATTTTCTACCTTGTGCATCGTAACTGGAATGTAAAAATCTTTTCCATTGCAATGAAGCTTCATTTCGGATTTAGGCCAATTCAT